AACGTTCATGAAGTTGATACAATTCGTTATATGACGATTTTATTTTTATTTCTGCTTTATTTTTGTCTTAAGAAGTTAGAGTAAGTTAAATTTTGAATTGGTACCCAATTTGCTTTATATTCAATAAGACTAAAAGAAAAAAGTACAAAAAAAAAACGATAACTATTTAATTGAAACTGAAAATCTGATTCATAAAAAAATTTAAAATTCTGTTTTCCTTTCAGCACGCAAACTGAGAGAAGCTGCTGCCGTCATCAAGCTTCTGGTAAAAATAGATAGGCGAAGACATATAATATTTACTCATGTGCTGTATTGAAAATATAAACTGATTGAATTAACAAATATGGGCGGATTTTGTTTTCCGTCTCCGGACCTGTTTGAGGTATGCCTAGAAACCAAAAAATATATAAGACACAATAATAGACCCCGATTTATGGCAAAAATTAAATATATGTTTCTATCAACAAAAACTAAAAAAAAATGTTTATAGGAATGAGCACTTTCACTGTTTTAAACTTGCACTCTGAATCATGGATTGCCTCTTATTTGAGCCATACTAATTAAGAAATATATAATTATTGTCAGAATGCATCACGAGTCTACCACGGAAAACACGGGGAAGGGAATTGAAAGACAAAAATTTAAAAAAAATATTGTATTATTTAAAGGACAATAACTGTAATGTGTATAAAAATATGCAAACGTTTTCGTCTTTTATCACAGCTTTTAAAATATTGTAATACATAATTATTATAACAACAAAATTTAAACTAAAGCTCTTTGAGATTAATTTGTTTTACTTTCGTTTTTTTTGTTCTCTGTTAAATACTCTATTCTAAATCTCTGTTAACACTATTTAAGTCTAATTAGTTTTTATGATTTTTTGCAAAAATATTTTTTTTTAGTTTTGGTGTTAATATTTAAAAAAATAAAAAAAATATCATCGCAAAAAGGAAATCGTTATATGTATGAGCTTGCAACTAAATCATACTGACCAACTACGAAAAAATGTGATATAAAAATCATGTATGCACATACAAAGTAATGTTGTCGACCTATGTAAAGCAGAACTCATGTACAATACAGAAATTTTCTATATTGTAGGGTTAATATTAAAAATTAAAAGGACCTAATAATATACTGGATCTATGAAGATACTACATACTACACATTATGAAATGATGGTAAAATTGGATAATTATACTACGAAATTCGACCCTGGTTACGTCGTATTATGAAGTTTGTATTATTACAGATACGCTACTCATAACTCTAAGTCAATGTTATTCATCTGTTTATCCAGCATCAGTCACTGTCCTAACAAGCACTCTGTGGCGTTTCCACTAAGAAAATAGTCTCAACATAAATAATAAAAAGAAACCTATTCGTGTTCTACATTTTAAAATAATATGCCCCTGCAAGACATTCCAATAAGGCATTTATTGTCTTTTGTTTCTGGCTTTCAAAGCACTTTCTTATGCTTTGTTTCAACTTGCTTTATGAATATTGCTTATTTTAACAGTTTACCGCAATCCTTATAAAATCCTTCTTGGTTAGTGTGTAACATTCCATCGAATACTGATTATAAGGTCCTGCATTCGAGTCCTGTGTAGGGCCAAGAAATCAGTTATTGGGTTTTCCGTCAAAAAATTCTCGGTAGCATCCCGATGTCAGAAGGTGACGTTTCACCCACGTGCCTCAGAAAGAACCGTTGGTTTTTTTTTAAAGAAGAGGGGTAAAACGAGCATGCGGCTCACTTGATGTTAAGTGACTACCGCCGCCCATGATCAACCGCAACACCAGGGGAATTGCAGGTGCGTTGCCGGCCCTTTAGAAAGGAGTAAGCTCTTTTCTTGAAGGTCCCCAGGTCGTATCGGTCCGGAAAAATCGCCGGTGGTAAACTATTCCACAGAGAGGTTGTACGCGGAAGAAAAATCCTTTTGAAACGTAGAGTGCTGGGTCGCCAAGCATCCAGATGGTTTGGATGGTATCGGGACGTTTGCCGCGTAGTGCGTTCACGAAATTTGGCGGCTGGGATTAATCCGAACCATTCCTCAGAGCACTCTCCATAGTATATGCGAAAGAAAATGCAAAGAGATGCAACATCTCTTAGCAGTGCCAGTGAATCGAGCCGATCGGAAAGCACTCGCTCGTCGACGATTTGAGCAGCTGATCGGTCAAGTGAAAGGAGCTGGTACTGGGGAGCCCCAGCCCAGAGATGGGAACAGTATTCCATGTGCGGCCGAACCTGCGCCTATTAAGGTTGCAAGCGGTGTGCCGGCATGAAATACTGTCCCGCTCTGCTGAGCACGCCAAGCTTTTTAGAGGCCAATTTAGTTTTCTCTTCCAAGTGACCACGAAACTTCACGTTACTCGATATTTCGACGCCGAGGATTCCGGTACTGGCTGAGGCAACAAGGGGAGTGCTTTGAAACTGAGGAGATACGACAAAGGGGTTCTTTTTAGCGGTTAACGTGCAAACTTGTGTCTTCTGGGGGTTAATCTGGACTAGATTTAGTCGCCCCCAATCCGAGACTATGTTCAGCAAAGACTCGACTTCAGACACAAGTTTTTTCCGGCACTTGGAGACGTTTTCCCGAGAAATATTGGCTCGGCCGGTGTAAAGAGCATCACCAGTGCTGTCATCTGCATAGCAATGAATGTTACTATGCAGATGACAGCACGCAGACCTGTGGAACACCAGCATTAATAGGCTCGCAATCGGAGCTTTCACCGTATACTACGACCTTGATACTCCGATCTGCAAGAAAGCTGGTGATCCAATCGCACAATTTCTCGGGAAGCCCATAGGAAGGGAGCTTCGAAAGAAGCGCTTAGTGCCAAACACGATCGAAGGCCTTCGAAATGTCCAAACTAACGACCAATACCCTAGACTCTACTGCCTCCGCCCATATGTAAGTTAGGTAGACCAGAAGATCACCGGCTGATCGACCACGGCGAAAACCGTATTGGCGATCACTAATCAGTTGGTGATCCTGGTCCTGCGTCTGATCTCTCCTTGGTATTGTCGGATTGCCGTTCCATTGGACTATGAGTGTGAGCAAGTGCTACAGTGTTTGTGCGCACACTTGGGCATCATAATCCTGTCCAACGCAGAAGTTTGAAATTGGCCACTGTGACGAAGTTCAGTACTGGGACATTAACAATAACAAATTAGAAAAGCCAATTATATTATCCCATTACTGGATAATATAATTGGCTTTTCTAAGCCTAAGACATACTAGGCATTTTTGTCATATTATACATTTGGGGGTTAACTTAGAAGTAAAAGACTACTTGTGTATCAGAAAATAAACATAACTCTATTTGAGATAGTAGCAAATCATCGTTGCGACTTCAAGATCTCCTATGTGTCACTTTTGTCGAAGTCACTTTTTTACACTGGTTTATTTTAAATTTTAGGCGCTCAATCGAAAGCAAAAACTCTCATGTGAATAAGTCTTTTCAATTGCTATTTATTTACCTTATTCAATATCTCCTAAGTGCTCGCCCATTCAAAGTTGGCATTTAAAATATCTTATGTGCTAAATATACATAACTACATACGCATGAGAGTTTTTAATCGTATGACTACATTACAGTCTAGGGAAATTAATATGATAAAATATCTTACGTGTTAAATCGCTAGATAGGTAAAAATTGTTATAGGTCAATTTTTTAAGCTAACTAACCAATAGAACACTGGAATGAGAGGGATGCATAGATCACGTGACTATTTCCCGGTTGTAGGTGTTAGATGGAGCTAGTAGCAATACAATAGGTTTGCTTTCATAACGCGACACGTCGGTACCTGTTCTGCAAAAAGTTTTGAAGTTGTTTAACGAAAGTTTGTAATTTTAGTGCGTGAAAACTACAAAAACTTCAATTCCTGGGAACCAGAAAGAGTTGAGCGCGGCTCCAGTGCTTCACTGATTATGCCGGAAGATCTAGGCATACAATGTTCAGAATTGAACACAATAGAAGAGGTTATGGAATCATCTGATCAAAGCATCAGCTTACTCCAAGCCACTGAAGAACCGCGTATTTCGTCTGAACCAAGGCAAGTTCTACCATGATGTGATGATGATCCAGACTGGGCTCCAGAAACTTCACTGAGGAGGTGGATTCTTTATCCATTGGCTAATGAAGATCTCTATGATAAATTGAATATATGTTGTAGTGCTGAAAATGTCAGTTCATTGTGTGTGCTAGATTTGCGAAGTAACAGGCAGTTATCTTTAAGAAGACGCAGAATGTTGCCTTCTTTGGACAGTGATAATAGTGATATAGATGATAGTGGGATTTTACTGCCAGAAAACATTACCTCTGCTTCTGTATCCCTTCCGTCCACTGTTAAGCGTAATAAAGAAGCCCGTATTGCTGGTAAACCGTATCTTGGGTATAAAAAGTTGGATAGCAAGTGGACAGCGTGCATCGAGAGGCCCAAAAGAGTTTTGAAATCACATTGCTCACATACTAGTTTTGCTCCAAAATCTAAGATTTCTTTTCTTTGCGCTTTGGTCACTGACGAAGAACGTGAAAAAATTAACAATCAATTTTGGAAGCTCAAGACTTGGGCAGAGAAGATTACTTTCGTTAAAGGATCGGCAGGGAAAAGATGTACAAGACGTTGGCGTAAATCTCAGCGTAATTCTATTGGCATAAAGCAAAGTGGCCACGATATTTATGTCAATAAAATGGATGCTAATTGCACTAGTGTTAGAGTGTGTAAGATTTTTTTTTAAACACGTTATGCCTTGGGGAAGACAGTTTCCGTCGGTGGACTAAAGAACATGATATCGTTCAGGAAAATAACAACTAAGAAACTCCTGAAAACACTGCATCAAGCTCAGCCGTTATTGCTAAAACAGGAAGGAACGCAGATTTGAAAAAAAAATGTTAAAACTTGGCTTGAAATGTTACCTAAGGTGCCGAGTCATTATTGTCGATCAAGTTCAAAAAAAATTTATGTCGAATCGACTTTTCGTTCTGAGCTTCACATGAATGCAGTTTTTAAGGAATGGTGTACTGAAAAGGGTTACAGGGCAGCTTCTAGAAAGACATTTTCGAAGGTGTTAAAAGAAGAAAATATTGGCATTCACCATCCGCGTAAAGACCAGTGTGATACGTGTTGTAGCTATAAAACGGGCAATATTTCTCAAGAAGAATACGATAGGCACATAGCGAAGAAAGAAGAAGCTCGTCAAGCCAAACAGAATGCCATAGCTAGTGCGAACGAGAAAACTGTGGTTATAACAGTCGATGTTCAAAGTGTTTTGCTTGCCCCAAAGCTATTTGCAAGTACCCTGTACTATAAATTGAAGTTACAATGCCATAACTTCACTGTTTATGAGGTTTTATCCAAAAATGTAACAATTTACTTCTGGCACGAAGCAGACGGTAATGTAACTGCTAATGAATTTACATCTTGTTTAATAGATTACTGTCAAAATTTACCAACTACGATTGAGCGCATTATTATTATTTCTGATGGATGTGGACATCAGAACAGGAACCGAATTTTGACGAGTGCCCTAAGTGATTTGGCGCAACGAAGGCAATTGAATATCGAACAACTCTATTTAGAGAAAGGACACACCATGATGGAGGTGGACAGTGTTCACTCCACTATGGAGCAATACATAAAACCACCAATATACGCTCTCAGCGACTACTTAACCCGGATAAGACAAGCTCGACCACACAAACCCTACGATGTCAAATCGATTCATTACGATTTTTTCTAATTTTCGAAGATTTGGAATTTAACCTGAAATCTATTCGGCCTGGTAAAAAGAAGGGAGATCCCGTGGTGGTTGATATAAGGGGTCTAAAATATTTACCTGATGGGTCCATACTTTACAGGTTGAGACATGTCGATGAGTGGTCCTTGCTTCAACAGCGAAGAAGTAACCTAAGAAATGGCTTTGTGTCACCAAACCGACTATACATAGCTCCGTTAAAAATAACTGAAAGCAAGTTTAAACATTTGCAGGAACTGAAAATGGTTATCGATCAGGATTACCATCCTTTTTATAATACCCTGCAATTTAATCCGGGTACTTAAATTTAAACTTTGCAATGGTAAATATTAATAATAAATACTTGTTTTATTGAAGATGTGTTTTTAATTTCAATTCCTTTTACATCAAAACCTCTAATGTGATACAAAACGCGCAACCAAAACCTCTTATGTGTCACGTTGAATAGTTTTTTTATTTTTTTACTACAATAACCTTTTTTATTTAAAAGTACAATAGCAAAGATAAAGCATATAACCCTCTAGTTATCACTTGTATCTTTTGTTATATTTAGTTTCCTTATATTTTTTTCAGTAGACTTTTTTTTTACTGATTATCTCGCAGAAATGAATTTTACACATGGGAGGTCTTAAAGTCGCAACGACGAAATGTGGTGTATTAAATACCATTTGATTCCCATTTCTGCAATCTGTTGATTCTCTTCATACAACACCTACTAGGCTGCATTACACAATGTCGGGAATGGAATATTTCCACTGTTCCTGTCATATTAAAATCTTTTTTAATTGAAAACTCCTTGGTTTTAAAAATCGAATACCATTTATTTTTTTCATTTAAAAAAAGTTACTGATTCTGCGGTCTTGTCACAACTTCTTTTTGGTGTTACGTTTGTCAAACTTGTTTAGTCGTTGATAAAATGGAATTAACTCGAGAAAATTCAAGAGCGATGATTTATTATGACTTTCGAAGTGGTTTAACACAAAAACAGTGTGTTGACCGGATGATTTCTGCATTTAGCCCCATCTAAAACCACAATTTATCGCTGGTTTGCTGAATTTCAACGTGGACTTGTCAAGCTCAGTGATGATCACCGTCAAGGTCGTCCAAAAACTGCAGTCACCCAAGAAAACGTTGATGCTGTGCGTAAGCTGATCGAGGAAGATCGATATGTGACATACCGCGAAATTCAGGCAACTTCAAACTTTGCCATGAGTCAAATACAAATAATCTTGCATGAACAATTAGGTGTAAAAAAGTTGTTTTCCCGATGGATTCGCTCTGTGAAGATCAAAAAGCGGCTCGCGTTACTTGGTGCGTTAGAACTCTCGAAAGATTCCACGCAGGATTTTCAAATGCTGTATACGACATCGTATCAGGTGACGAATCCTGGATATACACGTACGAACCCGAACCCAGTCACGAGTTTGGGTGTTTGAAAATGAGTTAAAGCCAACAAAAATTGTTCGTTCACGGAGTGTTGCAAAAAAAATGGAGGCCACGTTTGTCTCCATAACCGGCCATGTTACGACTATTCCTCTTTAGGGACAAAGAACGGTTAATGCAGAATGGTATGCTAGCATTTGTTTGCCACAGCTCGTTTCTGAACTCTGAACGTAAAGAGAACTGCAACCGCCGCATCATCCTCCATCACGTCAATGCGAGTTCTCACACCGCACACAGAACAAGAGTTTTTAGAGCTAGAAAACAACCGCCGTACAGCCACGACCTAAGCCATAATGATTTCTATACTTTCCCTAAAATAAAGAATAAATTGCGTGGACAGAGATTTTCATCACCTGAAGAAGCTGTGGACACCTACAAAACGGCCATTTTGGAGACCCTAACTTCCGAATGGAATGGTTGCTTCAATGATTGGTTTCATTGTATGGAAAAATGTGTCAAGTTTCGTGGAGAATACTTCGAAAAGAATAAATACATTTTTAAATAGTAATGTTGTGTCACTTCCTTGATTCCCGAAATTTTCAGTAATAAACAAGCTATGTTTACTTTTGTAAAAATCCAAATAATCTTCAAACCAACAACTGCTACCTATACTTAAAAGCCATGTGAATGCGGCGTAAGAGAATCCATCCCCACATTGCCACCAGCACATGTCATAAAAGGATATAACTAAGGGGAATTGAAGAAAAATCATACGCCTTCCGATTAATGACTCTATTACTACCTCGTTTACATCAGATTTACTTAAAATGCCCAGACTTTCGACAGTTTAGCAGTGACAAACGACAAGTCTAGAATACTTGCAATAGCAATCGTCTATCCCCCTGCCAAATGTAACAATTAAGGAATATTCTTCCTACAACTTTTATAGATTAGTAAAGAAGAAGAAGAAGAGTATTGTTTTTATAATTTCATTTCAATAAAATTAAATTAAAATTATTGAAACATTCAACAATAACTTTCTGCGTCACTTAAAGCTATATAATTCTTTTGTAGACTCCGTTATCGATAACTAAGACGGAAATACTTTTGACAAACGCCGTAATATCAGAGATCAAATGTTTTTGTACAAATTGCTACATAATATCATGCACTCTTCCCTACTTTTAAGCAAAGTGAATCTTGCGTGTCACAGGTTAGGTGTACGAAATAAGTATCTTTTTGCATTACGTAAAAATATGATAAATATAAATAAAATATTATAAATAAATTATAATAAATGTATTGAACACACTTGATATCTCTAGATTAATATAAATCTAAATATCATAAAGTAAGTAAAAAATCAACGAGACGGCAGCTTTTAACAGGGAAACGAAAAGCTGACTGATTAACTCATTCGCAGAAACGACCACTTGAATGATTTCGATCGGCAAACCACGCCATGTCTCGAGAGCCAGGTTTAGATATTGAATGGTTATGTCGAATCACCAAAAAAATTCTTGAGTCTTTTCTGTCTATCGTCACAATATCGTGTGGAAAAATTTAAAGAGGAGGAGTGGCCTGTAACCAGTAGTGAGACCTATTATATAGGCTTTAGTAAAACTAGAAGGTTTAGTTATTGCCTAGGACTACGTCTGGGTAGTTCGTACAACATTATTGCACCCATTGCTGGCTGTTGGGTTAAATAAGTTTATACGTGGTAGAGCAATGCTGCAGTTATATTAGTAGTATAGTTAGCAAGGTTGTTTATGGTAAATTTATTATTATACCATAACAAATGCTTAAATACTTGTTTTAAAACAATGGTATCCCTCAAAAATATCGAAAAAAGCGTGAGTTTGTAATTGCGCGTGATGAACTTGAACGATGGTCAGTTAACGGGCTAGGCTGTTCTAACGCTGGTCGAAAATGTTCATAAGAATCAACATTCAACTAAAAATCTTTGAAATAACGACCTTGAAATGATATCCAGTTTACTGGCCACTTTGTAAGAGCCGTCCTATAGAGGGTTAAAGAGTTAAGAGATCTTAATTTCATATGTATTTAGTATGGGGATTATTTATTATTCTTTTTCAAGTCTCTAGTCTGCTTAAGCAAATGATAATAAAAAATCATTTTCCTATTATACTTTACCATCTTAGAGACTTTCTTATGTAATTGTTTTTATTTCATAGACATTAATATCATATTTCTTTCTATAAAACTGAAGTAAAAAGAATTTAACGTGGTAGAGCCATGCTGAAGTTATATTAGTAGTATAGTTGTATCACGAATGGGTCGGCTCGACCGGGGAAGGACCACGCTCTCACAGAATACCAGCGTGAAATGTAGCTTAATGCTGTTGTATTTCGTATGGTGAGTGAGGCATTCCATCTTAGTCATCATGGGTGACAACGCGTCTGCATTTTGATTTGTAATAGAGGATAGATATAGATGTCTATGGGCCGCAGCAACCACTTACCATCAGGTGGACTGTGTGCTCGTTTGTCACCCTATCCTATAAAAAAAATAATAATGAAAAAAGTGCTAAACGAACTAATAGTCAACCTGATCTTATGTGCAGGTGTTCATGAATTGCACTAGCCACTAACAACTAATAAGGATTACGATGACGTAAAATTATTTTTGTTATCTCAGACGTATTTTCTTTGTATTTGTTTAGCTTTTTTCATAGAAATTAAATCCCCTAATATTGAAATTGGAACTGTATGATCTCCTTTAAATATTACTCTATTTAATCCATTTCAAATTCCTTTATTAAATACTATTATTTTTATTATATCAGGAGTAGCTCTAACTTGAGCCCATTATGCATTAAAGGAAAGTAATATTCTCAAACTACATAAACTCAAATTACTATTATATAACACACTTTATTTTTACTATTCTTCAAGCATATTAATATTTTGAAGCAGCTTTTACTATTGCTGATAGTATTCATGGCTCAAACTTTTTATTACACCACTATGGAATCAGAATACAGTTAACTAATACTACCACTACAATACATAGTAAATAGAGTTAACCATAACACTGGCAAAATGTTTTTTTCTATTTGATAATATATGGCACTGTTTCGAAAACTAATCGTTTCCAGTTATTAAACAAAGGTTAAAACTAAATTAAAACTTAATTTATAAATATGGTATTTATTTGAAAAAACACCAGTCATCCTGCATATACACGTAACTTACAGAATCGTAATAGAAAATTATTATCTAAAGGAAGGAAATGACTTTACTCTTTTTTTTGAAGTTCCGTAGTCGGATAAAAATTGTAGCCCATAAGTTGCCGCGGGTTACTAACTAGGTATATACAAAATTTCATGGAAATCAGTCCTGTATTTTTTGCGCGAATCGTGAATACAAAGACACACAGACAGACAGACAGATAGACAAGAATTCTAAAAACCACTAATTAGGCTTCAATACGCTTTACTTAGTCCCCTGAACTTGTTTTTCAACAATATATTAGAATCAAATACTCGACTTTTCTACAGATTTATTTCATTATGTACAGATAACAATGGTTGGTCTGCTCGGGTTTGCTATACGCTGATAAGCTTCCAATTTTAAATCTCC